AGGCATGGCATTCTTTATCTATGACGATAATTGAACATGATTTGCCTTATTCTATTATTGAATATAAATGGTTTAGGCATTATTCTACTTTCTTGAATCCTAGCGTGAAGTACATTATTAGAAAAACAATAGTAAGTAACGTCATGAAAGTATATTATGGGCACAAAAAAGCCTTGAAACAAAAATTGTTAAATAATGTTGAAAGAATTTTCTTGACATCTGATTGTTGGACAGCTGTAACCTTTGAAGGTTATTTATGTTTGACTGCTCATTTTATTGATGAAAATTAGATGTTGAATAGTAAAATAATTTCTTTTTGTCACGTGAAACTTCCACATTCTGAAGTAGAATTGGCTAGAAAAGTATATGATTGTTTGGTGGAATGGAGGATCAATGAGAAAGTATTTTCTATTACTTTAGACAATACTTCTGCAAATGATAGTATGCAAGAGAAATTAAAAGAAAGGCTAGCTTTGCAAGACAGTGCAAGCTTGATTTGTGAAGGGGAGTTTTTTCATATAAGATGTTGTGCTCTTATCTTAAACTTGATAGTTTAAGAGGATTTGAAAGTGACAAGTACTGCTTTAAACAAGATTAGGGATAGCATTAAGTATGTAAGAGGATTAGGCAAGGATGATTGCTTTCAAGCAATGTGTTGAAGAAGTTGGTGGAATTGATTGTTCAATGGGCTTGTGAATGGACATGCCCACTAGATGGAATTTAACTTTTGCAATGTTTGAAAGTGTATTAAAATATCGCTGTGCTTTTACCAGCTTATCTTGCCATGATACAAGTTTCACATCTTGCCTAACATATGAAGAGTGGAGGAGAGGAGAGGAGATGTGCAGTTTCTTAAAGTCATTTGATGTTATGACAAGGTTGATGTCTAGGTCATCTTATCCCACTTCAAATTTATATTTCTCTCAAGTGTCAAAAATTCAACTCTTGTTGGATGAAAATATGTTTAATGGTTGCCTTGTGATTTGTGAAATGGCCAAAAGAATAAAACACAAGTTTGATCAGTATTAGAATGATTATAGCACTGTCCTTGCAATTGCAGCTATGCTTGATCCATGAATAAAGCTTCAAATGATACAGTATATGTATGCCAAAATTGATCCTATAAGTTGCCATGCGAGGATTGGGAATATTCAAAGCAAATTGAAATATATTTTTAATCAGTATAAAGAGATGACTTCTATTTCTGATGTCAGGGCTGGATCAAGTTCAACAAGGCCAACACATGGGTATCATGCTCAATCCTTCATTACTTCTAATGCTTCAACAAAACCAAGCAATATTCAAGGGATTTTAAATGTAAGTTTTTTTTATATATTTTTAATCTTATTTTAATTTTTTAAGACATATGTTACTTTAAATTTTTGCATAATGTAGGATTGGATTAGTTATACAAGTATGGATTTTATGTTTGTTGGCAAGTCTGAGCTTGAATTTTATCTGGATGAAGCAATACTTTAGCCTTATGTATATCAAGAGTTGAATGTCCTTAATTGGTGGAATACTAATAAAGATAGATTTCTAATTCTTTCGAAAATGGCAGCTGATATACTAAGCATTTCAATCACTACAATGGCAAGTAAGTCTGCATTCAGCATTGGTTTATGTGTTCTTATGAAATACTAGAGCATTCTTCTTCTTGATAATTTTCAGACTCTTATTTGCACCCTAACTGGTTGCGTGGCTTTCAAGATGATGATAATATATGATTATTTTTATATATTTTTTCTTTCTTGATTAGAAGTAAATTTCACTAAATTATATTACAAAACTTGTTTATTTATTGTAGATAATGAAAGTGATTGAAAATGAGAGGAATAGGAAATTAGAGAAAAATGACAGCATGATGTTTTGAACTTTATTGTGAAATGCTCATCTTTTTTGTGAAAAAATTATACAATTGTATATTATTAAATTCTTACTTTTAAGTTATTTTAACCTTTACAAGTTGTATTGATATTTGGTAGCATGCCTTTGTTGTTAAATTAAGCAATTAACTTTTCAAATTTTATTATTAATAATAATATTAATGTATTTTTAATGATTTATTACATGTATTTTACTAATCTAGAATATGTTGTTATGTTTATATTATTTGGGAAAAAAAATAGCTTTTAAATTATAAATTAAAATCAGTTCAAAAAAGGCAACAAGAAAATATTTTTTAAAAGTTTTGGATATTTAGGCCAGCCAGAATAAGCTCGAAGCCTGAAGACGTTAGGACTGGACTTGACTATATGAGATTTTTTTAAAGTTACGGTAAACACGATTCGAATAAGTTTGGCCCGAATTGAGTCCGACCTATTCGAATTACCAACTTTAAATGTAAAGAGATTTTTAATAATTTAACCGATGCCTGGCAGCCATCTATCCCATGAGACGCCATACTCTACTTTGATTTTTTTTTTTCTATCTTTCATTTTTTTTCAGTATAAGAATTTGTTCCGTTCATATTATCTGCCTGTTTAAAATTTATCATCATGTCATCACCATACATTTCTGTTCATTATAGATTATTACGTATAGTTTATTCATCATGTAGTCATTTTTTTATTGTTTTATTCATATAACTACTAATATATGTTGACTGTCTCTTTATCTAAAACTTGCAAGAACTTGTAAAAATAACATCCTGTGCAAGTGTGATAAACTTAATATTTACAGCTACTTTTTAGAAAATTTTATTAGAAACCTAATTTTCATTAATTCAAACTTCTGCGATCATTCTCCCTAATTAACACGATAGACAAAAATGAACGGAGACTTGCTATGAGGACCAAACAGAATCCTCAGCAAACTTCTATTAGCAATTAAAGTGTTCTTCTTTTTATTTCAATTATTTTAATTTAAACAGCAATTTTTCTTATTTTGAGTGACAAGCTAGCGGGGATTAAACTCCATAATAACCAATCAGCCTAATTAACTAGCCAGAGATTATATATAATGTTTTTGGTTACAACTTACAAGAAACTATTGTTGAATAACTAAATAAAAGCATGATTGCTATTTCGGACTTAATCTTAGCCGTTGGCACAAAAAATAGGGATAAATTATAAATATGGGACAGACAATTCTAGACGGGAGTTAAAAAGGTTTCAAATAAAAAATAAGAGAGTGAAAGTGATTGAAAACTAGAAATGGTCAATTGGCTGACCTAATGAAACTGTGAGCAAAATAGTACAAAAAACCTGGAGGATGGAGGCAACATGCTTATTACATACGTGTCCTTACTAGGAGAAATGTAGTTGTCACATCATTTCGTGTTTAATATTGCCTTCCACCACGTCACCAAACACTTCTTTTACTTTTCTTTTCTTAATTATCATACCCTATGAATAATAAATTTAAAAAGAATTTTTATTTTAATTTTTTTTTATAAAGATCAGTTGATCAAAATGAAATATAAAACATTACTCCCTCCATTAAAAAATATAAAATATTTTTAAAAAATTTATATAGTAAAAATATAAGATATTTTTAATCTTTTAAAGTATAATTATTTTTTTTTAAAAAAATTTTATTTATAATGACTTTATATTTATTATAAGGTGTTTAATAAGAATAAATATGAAAGGATATAATTAGTTTGAAAGTAGGTAACTAATTTATTGAGGGGTGAGATTCAGTTAAAAATGCCTTATATTTTTAAACGGAAGAAGTATAATAAATCACACCATTTATAAATATTAAATAATATGATTTATTTTTTAAAATTGGTAAATAATAATACTTTTTAATACTTAATTTAAGGCAATTTTTGAATTTTTCCCTTACTATAAGGAAATTAAGAGTAATTAATTTTGTTTTCTATTTTTATATCTATTTTATTTATTATAGTTCGAATTTCTATACGCAATTTAATATTATCATTAATTGCAAAAAATAACAAATTTAGAAAGTTACACTTTAAACAACTTTGAAAATATAACTATCATTTTTTAATAAACATAAAATTAATTAATTTTTTTATTAAGGATCACATGGAATAAATATGTAAACAAATTCACATTTTTAATAATCTGTTCAATTTTATTTATAAAAATATTTTCAATATGATTTATTAAAATAAAAAAATCTAAAACTCATGAACTTTGTTTAATTTTTTTTAAATTTCAATTTCATTCCTATTAAATATACATATTTTAAAATATATTTTTCTCTCACTAATGTAAAGAAAAATATGTAATAAAAAAGATATGATTAATAAATAAGATAAAAGATCTTTCATTTTGCCAAAACCAATTGTTTTGATTTAGTTTAAGTTTTTGCTTCTAAAAATTTAAATTAAATTAAATCAAGTTTTATTATATATATTTTTATACATTTGTCAAAGTTTTGTTTTCCTTTTTCAAGTTTCATTATTTATAAATCATAAGTAAACATAAGTTCCAATTACCTAAATGTTACTTATAATTGTTTACGATCATTTTTTAATTTTATAATCAAATATTTTAAAGACAATATATTAATTATTAATAGTTAAATATGTTAATTAATTGTTAAAAATATTATTTTGTGCTTAATGAATTTTTTCATGACAAATAATAATTAATAGTTAAAAATTATTTGTGAATATGAATATATATATTGATAATTATAAAAAAAATCTTCTTTAAAAAATTTAAATTTGTTCTAGATCTAAACCAAATAGATTAGAGAAAATAATTTAATGAATTCTAGATTATAGTGAACTGATTGATCTGGTTTGATTAGATTTTTTCTTAAAACCAAACAAAATCAAACATATAAACATGGTTAGGAAAACTTAATAAAATTATAAAAACGTCAGTTGATTGCCTATCAAAAAATATATAACACAAAAGTCACTCAAATTAATCCCGCGCTTTTTCATCACAGAAGGGGGATTTTGGCGCGAGGGATCCTGATGGTTTTGGAGGCAAGGGTAATCTAGTCATTTGGGATCACCCATTATTAGGGTTTCTCTTCTCTTTTATTTAAGCCTTTGTTCTTTTAGGATTTGCTCAGCTTGCGGCTGTTGAGCGTGTGTCTCCTTTTGAGCCATTCCTCTTTCTCTCTCTCCTAATCTCTTTCGTACAGATACTCTTCCTCTCACTCTCACTGCACGTCCCTTCATATTTCTTCACCGATCACCCCAATTCCGATCTTCTTTTTCTAACCCATTTGTTCTTCTCTCTCAGCTTCGCTGTGTCATTGTTTGGGCTCCTCATCTGGATAATCAAGGTCTTCTCTCAGTAGGGAATTTCCACTTCGCCTTGTGCATTTCCTTGATCCTGGTTCTGTTCAGATCTTCGAAATAACTGCTAGAGATGGTCGATCCGACTGGCAAAGTGAGTGATCACGAGTCGTGATGGTCTCTTGCGAAGTTTCTTACCACCACCTTGCGTTGATTCGGATGTAGGGATTCTAATCGCGCTGATTCTGTTCTGTAATGCAGGGATCGGAGGCCGAGGACACCAATAACAGAAGCCCTAACGCTGATTCATCGGAAGGAAGCCCAATGAGCAACGAGCAGAAGAAAACCTGCGCCGACTGTGGCACTTCAAAAACCCCTCTTTGGAGAGGTGGTCCGGCCGGGCCCAAGGTAATTCACCCGATCGAACTAGAACACCATTTTCAAATCGACGTTAAAGCTTGGACATGATTCTGATCACCGTTTGTTATTCAATTTTGTTGACCGCAGTCTCTGTGCAACGCGTGTGGGATCAGAAGCAGGAAGAAGAAGAGAGCCATTCTGGGCATGAACAAGGGAAATACGGATGACAAAAAGGGCAAAAGAAGCAACAACAGTTCCAAGATTGGGGATAGTTTGAAGCAGAGATTAATGGCTCTGGGGAGGGAGGTTTTGATGCAGAGATCGTCGGTGGAGAGGCAGAGGAAGAAACTGGGGGAGGAAGAACAAGCGGCCGTGCTGTTGATGGCCCTCTCGTACGGCTATGTTTATGCTTAATCCACAAATCAGAGTGCTGATTTTAGAGTGAAAGTAGAGAGACATATGTTTGATAATGCCCCCTTGTTTCAGAAATTGTATGTTAAGTTTGTGGGGTGAAATTTTCTGTGATTAGTTTTGTATTAGATTAGCTTGCTGACTGATGTATTGGTATCATGAATCTTATCAAGAATTGTAAGAAAATGATTGAATCCCAATTTGGGTAGTGTATTATAATCCCTATTGGTTCGCGTTTTAGTTTAGCTCTGAAATTCAAGAGATGAAGATAGCCAGGCTCGTTGGTCTTCTCTCCTCTTCCATTTAATACGTTACAGAAAAATTTGAGTGCATTATAAATTTTGGGGCACAACATTTGAAATGGGAAGGACAAATATGCAATCGGAAAGAAAGTTGGAAAAAGCACCAAATTTAAAAGAGGAGGGAACGTTAAATGGATCAAATACCGAAATATTACTCTATAATCGCTACTTTCCTATTTCCCGCTAGTTTGACCCGTGATATTTGAAGATACATCTAGCTTGCAAACCAAAAGTCAATTATTGACTCAGATCAAGGGTATCATGGTAATTAAATTCCAAACATTCTAATGCTAATACTTTTTTCCCGCGGCTTCCCAAATTTAATTGTGCGACCAAAATAAATGAGAAAATGGGATTGAAGGAGTACATTAATTGTGAAAAAGGACTAAAACATTCTGAATTTACTCTAGAGTTCTTTATGTCTCATTTAACAGAAAAATTGAAAGAAAAAGAAAAGAAAAGAAAGAAATAGCCATGTTTCTCATTTCTGATTACCATAATGGTTATTTCTTATGTGCTTGTTAAATTGTCATCGTTACTCATTATTTTTCTTATGGATGTTTACCAAAACAATATCCCCACTTGTTATATTTCATTGTACTTATTATTTTTTACATTGTATTTGTTAAAATGGTACACTTGTCATTTTCCATATACATTCTTGCCACCACAATACTTCCACATGCCATTTTTCACAATTATACTTGTTAAAATTTTATACTTGTTCTTTTTTCCACTTCACTACTAAAAAAAATGGCAATATATATCGCCATTTGTTCAATGGTTAAAAAGAAACTCATTGTATATACATAAGCTAAAATATTAAATTCAAATATTCAACAATTCTTAATAAAACTATTAAATATTATTTCCTTTTTATTATTTTTCAAAATTTCACCAATATTCAACGGTTGTTTATAAAGAACCGTTGAGTTAAAGAGTTTAGATATTTAATGATTCTTTTATAACAATCGTTGAATATTGTTTATTCAGCAGTTGTTTCTAAACAATCGTTGAATAATATCTTTTGAATTGTTTTAGATTCTTTTCAAATCATTTACTTGAAGTTCTGCAAAAATTTTCATTTTCTCTTTAAAAACTTAAATACTCTCATTGAACTCATTTCCAAAATTTCAAGATTGCATTTCTAGCTAAACCCACTGTTCCTTTGCTAGGGCACGATCTAGGGGGGATTTGAGAAGGATAGGTGCCACAGCGCACGATGTAAATTTTGCAGATATCAGTCGCGAAATGAGACAAAAACAAAAAGGAAAGGAAAGGGAAACGAAAGAGACGCACCAAGCTTTGCTAGGGCACGATCTAGGAGAGGATTTGAGAAGGTTTGAAACTCCAAATCATCCAAGGTAAGATTTTTAAACTCTTTTTCTCCTTTCCTCTTCCATTTTCTCAAGGATTTGAGTTAAGGTTTGAATAAGGATGATGATTTTGGTCCATATAGGATATGGGTTTGAATCAATTGACACAAATGGAATTAATGAGAGTTTTTTAAAGTATTTAAACCTAGTATTAATGATTTTGATGGTTGTTGGACGATGAGCTCTATTGATGTCTGAAAATGGACGTTAAATCTGTCATTATTATGGTTGTTGAGGTATTGATGCAATGTGGGTATTCAATAAAGCTATATGATGTTATAGATAGATAATAAACCCAATAGGTAAACCCAAATATAAGTAATGTGGGCATTGGGTAATCTAGAAAGGAAAGATTAGAGTTAAAATGTGTGAGATTGGTAATGTTAATGAAGGTTGACTTGGTAAATTGTAGATTAAACCCCTGAACACCTATCTTGACTTGGAAATTCAAATTTGGAAGCTAAAATATTAAGGGATAAATCTTTGATCTTTTAAAGGCTTGAAGTAATTGGGAAAATCCTACTTTAAATAGTTATATATTAATTGATTATAAATTGATTTCTAATTGTGAATGTTGCATGCATAAATTGATTTTTAATGTGAAAGCATGTATTAGCTTTAATAAATGTATAAAAATTTGAATTTGCACAATGTTATTTTTGGCTTGAAATGAAAAATATGAAAACAAGCTGGTTTTGAACTATAAACATGCTGTCTTTGGGAAGACTAATGTGGTGTTGTGTTGAGGTAAACGTGTGTTAACAAAAAAATGAATTAGTGTGATAAATGAGGAGAATGTGATGAAATGTTATTGGATGCTCACTTAGGTAGCGCATGATCATGAACTCAATGTGTGAATATGATAAACAATAAATGAAAATATAAAAATGAGTGAGTATCGTTTATAACATGATCAATGAGCGGGAGTTCGCCTAAGGATTGGGAGTAGAGAAAATTTATATGGTATTTAGGCTACTCTCTGGTGCACGAGGGTATAGCCTTGTCTTATAGTTGTTGAAGGACTATCTCATAGTTTGTCGAGGGATTAGAACCTAGCTTTCTCCACCAATTCAATGAGAAGAATAATTTAGGGTATAAGACATCTCAGAGATTTGAGAATAGGGAAAGCTGTGGTTCGAGAGTGAGTCATGTGATCTTTGGTCAGGTCACACCTCATGATTAGTAAGCTTGGGTAGTCCGGTCACATGGATGAAGCCCTATTCAATGTTATAGTTTATGGTTTCAGTTTGAGAAAATAAGAAGGATATAAGTTTAGTTGATCATTACTTAAGTAAATGTATAACATGTTACACATGTTGAGTTGTGGAAAGTCGTGTGAATAAGGAGTCATGTCACATATCTAAGAATATGGTAACTGTAACATTTAGAAAATCTTAACCCTGATTTATTAACCTTATACGGGTAGTTAGTGAGTTAATGAGGCGTGTGGCCAGAGGAGCTTAATTTAGCATAATTGTTATGATTTCAGTCCTAAGAGTGGATTCGGATCGATGGCGGGCCACCACAACAAGGAAAAAGGACAAAAAAGTGAAGAATTATTTTCTATGCCACACACCGTGGTGCATGGTTGGTCCACCGTGGTGTACAGAGATAATTTAAACATAACAGACTCCTTTATATCATGCACTACAGTGGAGGGCATCATGTGCTGTGGCGCACGGTCAAAAATCAAATATATCTGATTCGTTAGCTATGTGAAAACAGAAGAGAAAAAGAGGAAGAAAATAAAGAGCTCAGTTTTTGCTCTGCTAGGGCACAATAATTGGTCCTATTGTTAATAGATTGAAGCTCTCAAACATCTAAGATAAGATTATGGTACCTTCTTCTTCCTTTCTCTCTCTTATTTGTAAAGATTTATAGTACAGTTTAAGTTGAGAGATGGATTTTCCGTCCATAGGAGTATGGGTCTGATTTCATTGATTAAAATAAGTTAAATAGAAGTTGTTTAATGTATTAAAACACCATTCTTATGATTTTGAAAATAGTTGGTTCATGGGAGTATTTAATATCCAAAAATTAGTATTTATGAGGTAGTTTGGAGAGGTTAATATGCATTAATGATAGTTTAAAGTGTTATTAATGATAATGTGTATTTGTTTAATCTAACAAGCCCATTGGGTAAGAATGAATATTAATTATGAGTTGATAAAAATAGTGCGTGTGGAGTTTATGTTGATAAAGTTTCAAGAGCTAGATAATGATGATATCCTTGTGATATGATTGTAAAGAGGTTTGTTTTGGCACCATTTGAGCTCGTTAAAGCTTGGGAAAGTTGATATAGTGAGGGGTAAACTTTTGACCTCTCAAAGGTTTGAGATAATCGAGAAAAACTTAATTCTTATAATTGAATGTTAATTATGTTGTGAAATGTGATTTATGAGTTTAATTAATGATACATATTGGCAAAGTGTTGATTTGTGAAATGGTTTCTTTTGAAAGAAAATCGTGATTCTACCACCCTTAATGTTTTATGAAATTAATTGTGATTTATTAATAGGGGTAGAGAATTGTGATGAAATATGTGTTAAAGTGTGGAGCAGTTGTGTTATGTGAGTTCATGTGCTGAGAAATGATTCTTAAAATGCATATTATGTGTGAAATGTGCATAGCATGATTATTAGCAAGAGTTTGCCTAGGGAGAGGAGTAAATTGGTTGAAATTCATGTGGTATTGGTAGTTGAAATTGAGAACTAGCCTTGGTACCGACCATTAAAATAGAGAGGTAGTCCTTGTCCCATGGTTGTTTCGGGACTGTTCCACTTGTTTTATGAGGGATTCAAATCTAATTAGTCTCCACCAGTTCATGAGGAGGCTAAATTAGGGGTATGACACCCTATTGTTGTTAGTATTAGGGAAAACTGAATTACATAAGTGAGTGAGTTAACCTTAGCCCGATAGCTCCTCATAAGTGGAAGGCTGGGTTAGTCTGTAAAGGACGTAGCCATGTGATAGTCACCGATTTCGTGTCGGAGGTAACAGGAGGGTATAAGATTGGCATATGATCATGCATATAAGTCTAGTCACAGTTGTTAGTTTTGTGGTCTGGCACGTATTAAAGGTGCATGGTTGTTATTTTTGTGACCTTAAGTTATGTTTTTGAAAATATCATGATATAGTGTCTTGTGGCAAGCCTGGTCATATGGTTGTTTGTTTTGTGAACCGTGGCCTAGTTCTTTGTGAAATATGTGTTTACTTGTCTAATTGCATCTATTTATGATTGATATACAACTGTATAGGTTAAGTGAAACTTAGTTATTGAGTGGTTTTACTCACCCCCTAATTTTGAATATTTTCAGGACCTAGCTTATCGGATCCGTGTCAAGAAAAATATATGGAGGCTTAAGATTGGTGGAGTAATCCTCTATATACCTCTTTTTTGCTATTTACATGTGTATTTGTTAATGCCTTTGCTAACTAGGAGCAACTGTCATGATTGGTGCACTACTTGCATGATTTTCTATTTAAATAGTATATTTTATGCCCTGGGTTAGTGAGTTTTTGTTGTGAACCCGTGGATAGAGCCAAAATACTTGTGCAAGTA